ACATAGACATCTACAGTGTACACATAGACATCTACAGTGTACACATATACATCTACAGTGTACACATATACATAAAATAATTTTAAAAACCATTTATTTAGTGACATGTGTCTGTGTGGGGTAGATGCTTGTAAGTGAAGGTGCCCAGCGAGGCCGGAAGAGAGTTTTAGATCATCCTCTGGAGCTAAAGTTACAGGCAGTAATAAGGCCCCTGACAGTGGGTGGTGACCACTGAACTTGGGTCTCTGCAAGACCAGCAAGCACTCTTAGCTGCTGAGTTAGCTCTCTAGCCCCTAGGCCCAGTTCCTCAAGAAGGTGTTGAGGATTCAAACTTAGGTTCTCATGTTTCATTTTGTTTGATGTTTGGATCCAGTTTGGTAAGCTACAGCTTCATAATCTTTTTTTTCTTTCTTTGAAAGAGCTATTTGTTTTCTTTTAATTTTAATTTTTATTTATTTAATGTGTACGAGTACATGGTAGCTGTCTTTAGAAATACCAGAAGAGGGCATCGGATCTCATTACATGTGGTTGCCTGGAATTGAACTCAGAACCTCTGGAAGGGCAGTCAGTGCTCTAAATTACTGAGCCATCTCTCCAGCCCTGTTTGTTTTACTTTATGTGTATGGATGTTTTGGCTTCATGTATCTGTCTGTGTGGCACATGTATGCAGTGCCTGGGGAAGACAGAAGATATGCCAGACACTTGAGCTGAAGTTATAGACAGTCGTGAGCTGCCATGTGGATATTAAGAACCGAACCTATGTCCTCTGTAGGAGTAGCAAGTGCCCTTACCTGCTGAGCTATCTTTCTCTCCACCCCCAGGTCCTCGTGCCTAAAGAGCAAATGACCTTATGAACCAAGCCACCTCCCCCAGCCCCATTTCCAGCTCCTTTGCCTCTCATCCCGTGTCCTTCCATGTCCCTTCTGTCACCTCTGAGCATGGTGCCCTCACCTTCCCTTCTCTTCCTTCCTTCACCCGCACAGGCCCTTCCAGCAGCAGCTGCCTGGTATACTCAGGGGCAACCCCTAGTATAGGAGTCATCAGATCCAGGGTGGAGAACGGACGCAGGCTCTAAGGGAGCAGAGAGCAAGCGGAAAGGGGATCAGGGCACCGTGCAGGCGAGCCTCCCCATCCCAACCCACGGTGGTGGTTCCTTGTGCTGGGACCAGTCCATCCTTTCTGTACCTCTAGCCACAGCAGACACCTCAGGGTCCCCTCTTTACTCTTTCCACCCGCACTTTGGGCTCCTCCCACTGGAAGGAGTGATGAACACACCCAGCTGTGGCACTCAGGTACCTTGGTCCTCTCCCGCCAGGCTGCTCCTACATCTCCTTTCCCTGGAGCCTGGCATTTTTGGAGTTCATTTCCTCACCTTCTCCACCTCCTCGCTGGAGGGCTCTAGCACCTCATAGGGTCCTATGCGCTGGGCCACGGCCATTAAACTCTCCTGCTCTTCACCCTGACGGACCTGCCCATTTATGTGTCGCAGGAAGGACTCCACGGCTATGATCTTGGGGTGTGAGAAGCAGAAGGAGGTACAACTGAGCCCAGCTTCCCAACCCAGTGGTAGCCACAGCACTCTGAAATAGGTCTAGTCAGTCAGCACTGTAGGAGGAATGAGACCTTCGGGGACCTCTAGAGATTAGTTCTTACCGGTCTCCCGCCAGCCCCACCACACGAGGACCCTAGGTCCCACCTAAATACCTACCATGGCATTCAGGGCCTCTTGGGCTCGGGGCTCCGGGCTTCTCTTGAGCACAGCCTGCAGCAGCAGTGGGTATTTGGTGATGCGCTGGTGAGGCTTGATGAGCAAGTCACCCAGCGTCTGTCTTCCCGAGCGCTTGTGTTTCTCGCACCACTGCAGGGGACGGGGTAGAGCTCAGGAGTCTGCAGGGCCCCTTATGCTTGCACCTCCAGTAACCGCCTCAGCCTTGCACCTAACCGAAGCCTGGCACGACCTGGCTGTGCAATTGTGCCCGCCCCCTCACTCCGCCCCCCTCCCCCGCCCCTGTGCGCCACAGCACCCCACCTGCACGAAGGTGTGGAACAGAGGGTTCGTGTCTTGCTGCTCCCGGGCGTAAGCCATGGTCTGCTTTACTCGAAGGCAGTACTGGACATAAGGCTGGAACCGCTGACCAAACTAGAGGAACACATAAAGAAAGGGCAGGCAGGAGAAGGCCATGAATAAACTCTGGCTGTAGAACATGGCTGCAGGCTGAGAAGAGAGACTCACGCAACTCCTCAGTGAAGCCTCTGCCAGCTTCTTCCTCCCAAGACATTTCCCACAGCCAGACCCTTCATTCTGTGCTCCAGAGAGGAACCGACCCCCTGAGAGGCAGACCCTGGCCACCCCTGGAGTTCATTCTCTCTGTGGCCCTGGCTGTGCCTGCTCCTCTGGACTCTCTCACCATCAATAATTCAACCTGACTTGTTTTCGGGACACTGAGGCTCCTGTTTCTATGACCTGAAAGTTGCCCAGAAGCCCTGCTCTGAAGGAAGAAGGTGCCAAGGCTCCCAGGAACCTACCTGAACTAGCTTTGTACCCCATCCCAAAGTTTCCTGCTGACCCAGAGACACTATGGAAGAAAGTCTATCCCCAGGCTAGCTCTCTTTCTCACATTCAATTCAATCCAGGATCTCCTTACTTAGGCAGCATTCTTTAAGAGACATTTTATTAAATCTATTTATTTTATGTGTATGAGTGCTTCATCTGCATGTGTATATGTGCAGCATGTGCCTTCCTGTTTTCTTAGAGGTCAGCCCAGGTCCCCTTGAGCCAGTTACAGATGCTTGTGAGCCACCGTGTAGGTGCTGGGAAGCAGATCCAAGTCCTTTGCAGGAGCAGCAAGTGTTTGAAACCACTGAGCCACCGCTCTAGTCCTTAGACCTCATTCTTGCTCTTAGCTGTTGGCTGCTGGGTCTCAATGAAATACTTAATATTTTATAGCTGCTGAGTGATACACACTTGTTATCACAACACTTGAAGAGCTAAGGCAGGAAGAGCTTGAATTTGAGGTTAGCCTGGGCAACACTGCCTTTAAGACAAAACAAAAACAGGTGGAGATGGTACATGCCTTTAATCTCAGCATTCAGGAGGCAGGCAGAGGCAGGCAGAGGCAGGCAGATCTCTGTGATTTTGAGGCCAGCCTGATTTACAGAGTGAGTTCCAGAATAGCCAGGGCTACATAGGAGACTCTATCTCAAAAAACAAACAAACAAACAAACAAAACAAAACAAACAAAACAAACCCCCAAAAAAACCCAACCAACCAAACAAACAAAAAACCCAAACCAAACCAAAATCACAACAAAAACAACAAAACCATAACAAAACCCCCAAAATAATAATAAAATAATAAATAAAAATTAAAAAGGAACACAAATACAAACTGTAGAGCTGGTGAGAGCACCCCTCCCCCACCTCTTAGGTATATTTTCATCTCTTAAAAGTCCCTAGAAGACCAAAGAGCCTTTGGGACATGTCACACTTGCGGAATGGAGTGAAGGAGATGTGGTTATATTTTAGAGTTCGACTGGCTGGGCCCTGTGGATTCTTTTGGGTTGTCCTCATCCTGCTCTTTCTGGGTCTCCCCAGACTCACTGTCAGGAAGCCATTTTGTAAGCTGACAGGGTCCAAAGGTTGGCCTGAGGCACGAGTGTCTTCCAGAATGGGCTGCATCACTTCCTCCCAAAATCTCCGGTGGGCTCTAATCAGGTTGGGGACATTTCCAAACAGGGTCTCAGCTGACACCTGGAGGAGTGAGCAGAACTCAGTAACAGACTTTTGTCACAGTCAAGAAGAGACATGTAGACTTTCAGCCTCAGTGACAGGGCTGGGGAGAAGGGGAAGGGTCTGACAGTGTCCTGGAAGATCCTAGGGAGTCCCACTACCCACCCACCCCCGCCCTATGACACCAGGGGAGCTAGGGGCCTTGGCCAGCTGAGGATCTAATGCAAATGGGAAATATAGGAAAACTAGGGGCATCCCAGACTGCGCAGCCTGGAGGGCTCGCTGTGGCCCTGCCTCCTTCTATGCTTCCACTCACCTCAGTCAGCAGTCCCACCCGCTGCAAATTCAGCAGACCAGCTGCCAGGAGCTAGAGGCAAGGAGGAAGATGGGCTCAGCCCCTGACCTTCCTCCTTCAGGGTCCCCCCAGCACTGCCATCTTTAGTCTCCTCTCCCTTGAGCAGGTCTGAAACCAGGGCTTGAATTCCTGCCTCCCAGCCCTCATCCCAGCCCTTCCGCCGTGGGAGGACAGAGACAGTACTAAGGACCCAGGTAGGGAGGAGATGGGGTTGAAGGTGGCTCACGTCAGTCATGATCTTGAGCTTTCTCACGTAGATCAGCTCAGTGGTCAGGAGCTCCCACAGTGCTTCCTGCTGGTGGCAAAGCTCTCGGCTCATCTCCTGAGGGAGACAGTGCTGGTTTACTTGGGGAACGCTGATGAGACCAGGTGCCATTTGTTAAGTCCTAGATCCACAACACGGGTTATGGTCCGTTTACCCAGGACCTTTTCATCTTAGCCAGTCCTCTAGTTTGTAGGAGGCATCACCCCCATTTTCCATATAATGCAAGTGAGGCTCAGGGCGGGGGTGTCCTCCATCCTAACCAAGGAGTCACTGCTTGGTGGCAGAGCTGGGATCTGAACAAGATCTCTGGAGGTTTTCCCCTCTACATGCTGTATCCCGAGGCCTTTGTCTTGAGATATATGGACGTGTGCATGGAGGGGGGTCTGATGCGTTATGGGGATGTATACCGTTTCAAGCTCACCTTGTGTCCCGGCACCAGCTCCTTCCAGGACTTTTCCATGGTCAGGACACTGTCACCTCTCTCTCCTATCTCCCAGTGTCTCCGGTCCTCCGGTGGCAGGCGGGGCATCCCGAACATGCTGAATGTATGCAGTCTCACTTCTAGTTCATGGGCTTTGGTGACTTCCTAGGGGAGCAGGGGAGATGGTTAGTCAGCCTGACACACCCTCAACTTCTGGTGCCCAGGCTCTGAAAAGGCTGTGTGCGCACACATGTATACACACATGTGCCTGGTAGGGCAACAGATAGGTTTGTTATTGCCCAGGAAATGAAGTTACAGTTTTGACTGCAGAAAGATCCCAGGGTAGAGGGGTTTGAAGGGATCTCCCTGACTAGAACAATTCCTTCTGGAAGTTTCCTAATTCAGAATGGAGGTGGGGGCAGACTTCTCAGAATGGTCTTGAAGAATTGATTTTCTTAAGGAAAGAAAGAAAGAAAGAAAGAAAGAAAGAAAGAAAGAAAGAAAGAAAGAAAGA